AAGAAAGTATAAGCTCTAGATAATTATATGCATTTTCTTGCATGAACATAATAAATTTAGTGCAAGAAACAAACAAAATAATTTGCTTCCCAATTCTGTTTTTATTTATGTAAAGACCAAAAACCTTGAGTCTGTTCTGTTGCAATTGTCCATTTACAATTTGTCTAATGATTTAAAAGTAAAAAATGTATTTATTTTTTTAAGAAGGAGGCAGACATCCTGTTTCTTAAGTATATACCTCCCCAAATTGCAAGCAGGGATAATATAAGCTCACCTGCATTCCATTTTATTTCCATTTGCATTTATTTTGATTTTACATTAACAAGTCTAGGGAATAGAGTTAAACAATATGGAGTAAACATGGTAAAGTTTTGAGAATTATCATGATTATAGTAAAGTTTTAAATGAATTCTTATTATTACAAAAACAATAAAAAAAAAATTTAAAAAAAAAATATGGCAAGAATTGTACCCATTTTCCACAAATTTAATATTTCCAAGGGACTCAACTTTTTTAAATAAAGTTGATTGTCCACCATTTTAGAACTTGTCCGAGATATTGCTGATATCAACCTATATAATAGTACAAGTTTTATAAAAATCTGACAAGAATTGTACCCGTGAGATCGCTAACGAGGCCATTTTCCATATATTTAATATTTCTAAGGGGCATAACTCTTTTAAAAAAAGTCAATCGTTCACCATTTTCGAACCGGACGGACGGACAGACGGAAGCCCGGTATTTCCAAGTGCCCCCACAACGCGTTACACGGTTGACAAAAAGATATCTATCATAGCGTATAAACACAGTCTTTTAAGACGAGACTTTTTAATAGGTAGACTTTTGAGACGTACCCTTGCTATGAATGGAATAGAACTAAAAAGCTAAAAAATCCAGAAACTTACATCGAGTTAAAAGGCAATAAGTCTTTACCACTACATAAAAACTGTGTCAAGTCTTGATGTTTTAGTATGTATGTTCTATGCATTTGTTGAAAGTTTTACCCAAATGTTTGTTAAGTTTCCTCTTTTCGAACAGAAAGTGTATGTATTAGATAAACCCTGAGGGTGTTAGACCAATTAAGTGCATTTACATCTCAAGATATTATGATTAATGTAAATTGATAGATTTCTATTTATAGGTGTAAGTTTATTTACACCAGAATGTTGTTTAATGTAATTGGATACTCTCCCTACTGAAAATGTAAAGTAGGATTTCACTGAAAATACCAGTGGAGTTCCATCAGAGTTCCATTGGAATACCACTGTATTACCACTGGGAAATTTGGTCGGGATTTTCATTGGACATTCATTGTTTTCCATTGGGATATCAGTGGAATATCCAGTGGGGATTCCAGTGAATACTCGAGTGGAATACAGTGGAAATTTCATTGGAATACCAGTGAAAACTTCGTTGGAATACCATTGTTTTCCCACTGGACATTTATTGTTTTCAACTGGGATACCAGTGGTAATTCCATTGGAAATTGTAACAATCAACCAAAGAAAACCAGTGATATTTCAATGGAAATTGATAATTTCACTGAAATATTAGATATCATTTTGCATGCACTGCTTATTTTTTAATGAATTAATAAGAAAACTTGAAATAAGACAATAACCATTTTAATGCAAGTCAACAATTAAAGAAATTACAACAGTTTATACATTATCCACATTTAAGACCTTTTAAACGAAAAAGATCAACCTCTTTAAAATATTAATGTTGATAAATTATCATTTTTAGTCAAATATGTATTTACTTAATTGTACATGTAAATCATTTTTCTGGTTAAATCATTCATAAGTCCATGGTAACTTTTGGTCCTCTTGAAATCTTTCACAAATGGTTTTAATTTTCAATTTTACAAATTAGTTTATTGTGCATTAAACAAACAAAAATGTCCAGTTTACATGCATACGAAATACTTTGTCAGTTTGGTCAGTTTTCTTCATCTTCCATTGATATCATTCATGAATTAAGTCCAAAGTTTCTGCATTCCAATCCTGTTCCATTTAGTCTTCATTGATTAATCTGAAAGAAAAAAAATCATACATCATAACATGCATAGAATTTTGAATTAAAATAACATTACAATACCATGCTCCAGTCTGCAATTATTCAAAAATATATGTTACTGGCATATTTTTTTTTGTTTGTTTAATTTATTCACAACATTTATACACTAAGAGCAATTTAGACACATGAATGTCTATTGTTGAAGACTATGTGTTCTCTAGATATCTTTGGCTATAGTTGTTGGGTTGCTGTCTCTTAGACTTATAACACACATCTCTTTTTATCAAAATAGACTTTTATTGTTCATGGATCAGGTGTCTCTAAGAGGCCAAATAAAATAGTATGTGTGGTTCCAGTTACATTTAAAAAAATATTAGGGTAGGTAGGAAAGAATTTGTTTTTATTTTATGGCTTTTTTTTTACATTGAGTCTATGGGAGCAACATTCTGACATAAACAGTACTTACTGAAAAATGACAAAAAAATCTTTAGGGTAGGCTATTGTTAAGACGAAAAAAAAGGTAGGTAAGGTAATTGTAACCACACATATATTTTTATTTAGCCTCATATTATCTTTCCCTTTGCGTTGTGTTTGTTGTTGGTTTACTATCTGGTTGAAGCATACCAGACACCTCATTTTATTCACATAATAGCCATGATTAACCATTGTGCATGATGATCAGGCCTTGCGGTCATAAAACTTTCGAGCACGATAATTGTACTCAGACTCAGAAATCAACCAATCAAGCACAAATTTTGTATTCCGAGTACTGAGTAAAGTTTTATGACCGAGGGCCCAGATCAATGTTTTTGAGATGTATTTACAGCTTATAGATGTGAATGATTAATGTATTTTTATTTCGAGTGTGGAAAGGATGAAAAAATAATTCAATAAGTACCTTTCAATAATCTTATACTCAAATTTCTTTTCTGCTGCTGGTTCATTTGTTTTCATCGTGTTTTCATATTATTGAGTGGATATTGATCGATGCACAGTCATCATTTTTGCAGCTTTGTACCTTCACCATGATCAATCCCTTTTAATATATGGACGACCTAAAAAAATTAATAATTTTTAATTCTGGTCATGACCTGTTTGCATCATATATTACTGATATTTATCATACAATGTACATATATAATTAAGAAGCTTCTTTCATTTAAGTATAAAGATTCTAAAACACAATATTAACCTTTAGTGATTTTTTGTGTTGCATGTCCATCCAAATCAGAACATGACAAAATTAAGTTGAATGTGCCTGACATTGTGTAGTAAACATCTTTCCTTGATTGTGAAGGCACACAATGTAATTGAATATTGAATAATAAAATTATTATTACATTCCCTCCTCCCCCTTTTCAGAACACCAAATGGTCATCCTCAAAGTGTGAACTAACGGAGCACATGAAACTAAAGGGGTGCATATCTTTTTTTTTTAATTTTTAATCAAAAATATTCATGATGTAAAAATCAAATGTAAAATCTCTTAAAAATTACCTGTATCTGCTGTAAGTCTGCCCTACATCAGCAAATCGTTTCATCGTAAATTCTTGGTTCAACAGCTAATGTCATGCCTAAATGTTCTGCCTTTAATGTCTATTTCTTTATTTATCGAAGGTTGTTGAATATTTATAATTATTAACATGATTAATGTAACCACAGCTGGACAGGATACATACTCGTACAATATTTTTAGTTTCAAATTTGAACACATTTCGTGTATTAATGATAACGACGATCTGATTGGCCAATCAGAAATCCCGGAAATTGAGTTATCCAATCAAATCAGCGGTTATATTTATAGTCTGGTAGAAAAAAATGGCAGCCTCCATGAATGTAAACATGTGTGTTGAAAAACAACATTATAGACTACAGTTTCACGAATTTTCTGCTCAAATTATGCAAAAACACTGACATTTAGCGTACAATTGATTGGAGCGGATTATATGTGAAATGTTTCTATAGATTAACTTATATGACCCGAGTTCCAGTGCCGAGTTCATGACATGAAAATGATGAAAAATTCATCACACCGACAAAGTTAAGATATCGAAACAGTTTATAGAACAATGTGGAAAATGAAAGCCGTTCACTTTATTTTTCTCAAAAGTACAGTAGACCAGTAACAGTCAATGAACATGATGAAGTCAAAGGAGAAATAATGAAGTCAAGGGAGAAATAATTAGTAGACTGTAGTGCAGGGCAGTTGCCAGTACGGTCACTTGAAGAAAAAAACGGAGTTATCCTAACAATTCGTACAGACTGAAGATAATTTCTGCAACAGATCTGTTTAAAAACGGCTCTTTTAAGAGCCATGCACATTTTTCAAAAAGAATCTTAATTGTTTTTGTTCGTTAAATCAAACAGAATCTTATTCTCAACCCAATTTGACATAAAATATTCATTTATTTATTTATATTATTGCACATATAATTTTATCCTCAATAGTTAAAATGTATCCTTTCAATGTGTCATACTCATAGGCTATATGGTGATGCATTATATTCATATCTAAGGAGCTACCTTTTTACTTATTTTATATGGGTGGTGTAAACACAGCCATTTTTGTTAAAGTGTATAGATGAACCTTAAAGGGGCCAGATGAAGCACGTCTCCGGGTGCGGAATTTTCTCGCTATGTTGAAGACCCATTGGTGGCCTTTGGCTGTTTTCTGCTCTTTGGTCGGGTTGTTGTCTCTGTGACACAATAATCCCCATATATCCATTCTCAATTTTAATACAAAAAACTTAAAAACTTGCAGGACCGAATAGAGTGAAAAAAACAAATGCTGCGGCTGAGGAAAGACATTACAACTAATAAAATGAAGTACAAAATTTTTCATCCTAGCCCCATAAAAATCCAATGATGTCCCTTATCAACCTTTAACCCCTTCCCCCATCCCCCCCCCCCCCCCCAAAAAAAAAATCCAGTTCCTCTTTAAACGTACATTGCTCTCACACTTGTTTTAACTAAATGTTTACCATATATATTGAAATCATTTCAACAACATGCTCCTGTCGTACTGACGTGTTTTCATTCAGCAAAGCTCTGCATGACCTGCATCTTCAAGGTCACAAAAAGTTTGTCTTTCTTGAACTGGTTCCCTGATTTATTTGGATAACAGACGCTTTTTCTATCGACACTGCCACTCTTTCTCGACTCTTGTAGATCGAACTTTAACAGATTGAAGGTCAGAATGTTTGTTCCGATTCCACAGACCTGTTACCTGTTACCTGTTACCTATTCTGTAAATTCCACCTTTTCCAGATAAACCACTTCAGTTGGGAAATCCTAAGGTAGGATATGGGGAAATCTGGATTTAGAATATTTTTTTGTCATCTGCTTGACCACAATAAAGTCAATGCTTAATAGATAGAGCAATAATTACCCTTATACAGTTTAATAAAACAAATTTAAAATCCAGAAATAAAGATAATTCATTGAATCAAGACTACTAAATAGGGACCTATTCAAGTACACCTTTTAGGGTGTGCTTGACTGGATTGTATTTTTAAATGTTGTGTAGGAATTTTTGTAAACGATAAATGCTGGCATGGACATAATACTTGTAAGTAAGTTAAATTTTATAATGAAAATCTGTAATAGATAAAACTAATTAAAAGTCTGTGTTTTTTTTTACAAAAATCTAGGCTTTACTTGCACAAAATCCCTATTTTCTATTCATCTACATCACAGGTATTTGGGGCATGGACCCTCCTTATTTTGCCCCATTTAAAAAAGAACTTTTTTTTCCCATATTTACAATTTTCTACAATGTAAAGACATATAACCTGATAACAAGTCTCAACAATCCATTATTAGTCGATTACAATACCTTTTTTTATTATCAACACAAAAACCATGGCAGTATAATCAGTTCGTTGATTGTGGCCATTATCTGGCAGAAGAAGCAGAAGCAGAAACCCCAAGTGAAAATGTAAAAATGGCTTGTCACTTTTATTCTGTATGTATATATCTGTTCTTTGAAATTTTTTTAATACATTGTTGGCGAGCCATTCTTGTGTCTTATTAATTTTTACATGTACTTGGGACTTTTTAAATGTTCAAAACTGTTCTATTTGCTTAAAAGTAACCTGGAGAAATTTCTAAACACCATTCTTTTAAGGTCAAAAGCCTTGTGACCTTAGGGTGAACCTCCTACTGGAGCCCCGGTGTATGAATGCATGTACATATCTTTCCAGGGAGGTTGATCTTACATTCGAGTCGGTTGGGGTAATTCCGTACACTTTCGGTCCTAAATGAAAGTCATTTGGTTCCCTGTTTGATAAACAAGCGAAATGTAATATGTATTTTATTTACCTGCCTGTACGAAATTACCCGGATCGACTATAATCTTTATCATGTTTATAGATTAATCATTTATGCTAATTCTTTTTTTTTTTCATTAATAAAAAAGTTCTGCAGATGATTAAGTATAATTTTATAACTTATATTTATTTCCAACAAACTAAGAATGTTTAAAATTTTAAAAATTCACAGAATCTATTGATAACAAAATTTTAACTTCGCACATTATTTGTTAAAGGGAGTCCCCCCCCCCCCCCCCCCCCCGACAGTATATACTCAGTTCATCATTATGGTAGGATCACATGTCCTGTGCATGCTGTGTTTATAGTTTAATAGATTTATTATGTCTTGTCTATCTGAAGTTTGGATAAACTGCCTACTGGGAAAAACATTATTACATGATTACATTCCAAATTACTACTATTAGTCAATTATGTGTGAAAAATTTCAATTTCATGAGTTTTAATCCCCCAGTGCATGATGTGAAACATCATAAGAATTTGTAGATATAAATGAAGAGATATGAAAATTTTATCCTCAATACTGTGTCAGTCACTTAACAACAATAAAACATTAATTTAAAGTAATAAATATTCCTAAAGAAATGAACATTGAGAAGTTCTCATTCTGACACACATTTCAATGATCAATTAAATCATCTTTTATTAGAGAGCTAACCATTTGTTTTTATAGGTGGGCTAGGATGAAAAATTTTGTCCTGCATTCTTTTTGATGATTAAGGCATCATGATAGATAATATTTAAACTCTTTTCTTACTTGAAAAAAGCACCTGGTTCCCTACAGAGCACCAGGGTGCAAAATTTCAGGGGGAGGGTGCAGAGCCTCTATATTTACTGCTCTCCTGGATACTGATTTGTAAACACGTAAAAATAAGGCGGCTAATGCCCTCATGTATCATCAACAAAGAAAGTGACAAATGAATAATTTTATTTCCTTTTTGCAATTTCTCATTGATGTGATGTAAATTTTCTGTTAGAAAGTCACACGATTCTGTATCTATACTAGTATGACAGTTTGCCTAAGTTTCACAAGACTGTTTTATCTTATTTTTGCAGAATTTTTTTTTTTCTAGGTGTACAACTGTGCAAGTATTGAACATCGCAGCTTGAAATGCAATGTGACCTAAAAGACAGCATAATAATGGACAGATGTAAGTATTTGGTAATATAATAATAGTTAAAGATATGGGGAATGTATGAAATTGTTTGAAAAAGTCCACATATAATACACTCCTTGAAAGTAAATTTTTATCTTTTTTACTGTTCTGCTAAATGAGGGTTTGGATGACTGAGGGGGTCCTTTATGTCTTTATTCTTTAAATATTAGACCGTTTTCCTCTCTATTCAATATTTATTTTGCCCATTAATTATATTCTCTCTATTCACTATATTTGTGTGCCCCATTATTCAATATTCTGTATTATTTTTGCAATTGTTTCTCTTTTCTTTATTTGTTTGCCCTTTATTCTGCACTTTTTTGTCAATTATTCTCTATTCTGTGAACCCCATCCATACTCTCCATTATGATATATATATTCCACTATTCATTCCAATGAAAAGATAAAAAAAGTTTTATGTTGTCCATATTCTAAATTGTTCTCTGATAATACTATTAGTTACATAGTGTGCTAGAGACCTAATACGGTATATATGGGGTCAGTAAATACCATATTGGGATTCGCTCATATATACCGTATTACGTCACTAGCACGCTATGTAACGAATTCATCTTACCGCGACTATCTTAACACATGCTTAACATGTGGTATTTAGACTAGTGACCTATCAAAGTGAGCAAGTCTTCAATACCGTTAGCATTAAGAAACTACTTCACGTAACACCACTGCTAACCGTGTATTGAAATGAGCTCCGCTTACTAACCTAATATGGAATATACATGGTCTCCACGTGGTTGCTTTTAACCAATCATATTCCTAGAAATGTATAGGAGATAAGATAAATATATATACCAGCATATAAAATTTGATTTCTCAATCACAAGAAATATCTTTTATGGTTTTGAGCTATATAATTATATATATGGAAATTTGGTAAAATAGATATAAAAAAAATGAAAGAAATGGATGGTAAGTACATTTGTATATATGATACAGAAACAAAACAACACAACACAAATATAAACAAAAGACTTCTATGTAAACATAATTTAAATTATGATCTTTCAATAGTATTTTAAACTTTAAGTGTATAACTCTATATGCCCCCCCCCCCCCCGCAATTAAAAGTTGGGGGGGCATATTATTTTACCCCTGTCTGTTCCATTATGGGTATATAGTTACTTTTGGCCTTTGGCTGTTTTCTGCTCTTTGGTCGGGTTGTTGTCTCTGTGTTATGTTATGTGTGAAAAATTTCAATTTCATGGGTTTTAATCCCCCAGTGCATGATGTGAAACATCATAAGAATTTGTAGATATAAATGAAGAGATATGAAAATTTTATCCTCAGTACTGTGTCAGTCACTTAACAACAATAAAACATTAATTTAAGGTTATAAATATTCCTAAAGAAATGAACATTGAGAAGTTCTCATTCTGACACACATTTCAATGATCAATTAAATCATCTTTTATTAGGGAGCTAACCATTTGTTTTTATGGATGGGCTAGGATGAAAAATTTTGTCCTGCATTCTTTTTGATGATTAAGGCATCATGATAGATAATATTTAAACTCTTTTCTTACTTGAAAAAAGCACCTGGTTTCCTACAGAGCACCAGGGTGCAAAATTTCAGGGGGAGGGTGCAGAGCCTCTATATTTACTGCTCTCCTGGATACTGATTTGTAAACACGTAAAAATAAGGCGGCTTATGCCCTCATGTATCATCAACAAAGAAAGTGACAAATGAATAATTTTATTTCCTTTTTGCAATTTCTCATTGATGTGATGTAAATTTTCTGTTAGAAAGTCACACGATTCTGTATCTATACTAGTATGACAGTTTGCCTAAGTTTCACAAGACTGTTTTATCTTATTTTTGCAGAAATTTTTTTTTTTCTAGGTGTACAACTGTGCAAGTATTGAACATCGCAGCTTGAAATGCAATGTGACCTAAAAGACAACATAATAATGGACAGATGTAAGTATTTGGTAATATAATAATAGTTAAAGATATGGGGAATGTATGAAATTGTTTGAAAAAGTCCACATATAATACACTCCTTGAAAGTAAATTTTTATCTTTTTTACTGTTCTGCTAAATGAGGGTTTGGATGACTGAGGGGGTCCTTTATGTCTTTATTCTTTAAATATTAGACCGTTTTCCTCTCTATTCAATATTTATTTTGCCCATTAATTATATTCTCTCTATTCACTATATTTGTGTGCCCCATTATTCAATATTCTGTATTATTTTTGCAATTGTTTCTCTATTCTTTATTTGTTTGCCCTTTATTCTGCACTTTTTTGTCAATTATTCTCTATTCTGTGAACCCCATCCATACTCTCCATTATGATATATATATATTCCACTATTCATTCCAATGAAAAGATAAAAAAAAGTTTTATGTTGTCCATATTCTAAATTGTTCTCTGATAATACTATTAGTTACATAGTGTGCTAGAGACCTAATACGGTATGTATGGGGTCAGTAAATACCATATGGGGATTCACTCATATATACCATATTACGTCACTAGCACACTATGTAACGAATTTATCTTACCGCGACTATCTTAACACATGCTTAACATGTGGTATTTAGACTAGTGACCTATCAAAGTGAGCAAGTCTTCAATACCGTTAGCATTAAGAAACTACTTCACGTAACACCACTGCTAACCGTGTATTGAAATAAGCTCCGCTTACTAACCTAATATGGAATATACATGGTCTCCACGTGGTTGCTTTTAACCAATCATATTCCTAGAAATGTATAGGAG